CAGCAGCCGAGTACAAAGGTCGTAACTAGAACAGATAATTGTTTGCTTTACTTCTTTATTTACTGTTCTATGTTTTACAGGAAAAATATGTTTAAGAACTTATTTCAAAATAGCAAAAATCTATATACATATATAATGTATAATAATTGAAATGTGAATGTAGTTTACAAAATACTAGTTGACTAAAACACAGCCAAGACAAGTTACTTTGTACAAACCTAAGGTCAGTTTTATGTTATTTGGTACAGTAACAGGAATGCATATGAGCTGCATCATTGTAACCTCTGTATTGTTAGCCACGCACGGGTGAAAGGTCAATATAATAAAAATAATAAATATATATAAATGTATAATATTATGAGATTTAAGCTATTTCATCTAAACATTTATGTTTTCGTGTTATAATATGTGTTCATTCTAGAATGAAAGAGGCATAATTTATGTTTATTTCTGATTTTTTTATGGTGGTTGCAAGATTGTTCACTTTTATCGAACCCGTAGAGAGATTAATTACTGAAAATAACAGATAAGATATAAAGTTTTTTCTCAAGAAACGTTTGATAACTATCCAGACATTATAAAGATTTTACACATGAAATTTCAAAATTTTCTGATGCATAAAAGTATTTTTAATTTTAAGATGAAAATTACTTTGCATGATAGATAGGCAAAATGTGAAAAGAAAAAAAGACATGAGAGAAACATTGCTTTACAAACCTTACGACTTAATAAAAAAATTAGATGTTTTGCATATGAAAGCATTGTAATGTTTATTGATAATGTGCCAAATTTCATTAACATTCACTTACTAATTTAAAAGTTATAGCATGAAAACTATAACAAGCACAAAATGGTTATAAGGTTGTCACATTGGCCAACCCTGCACTAGCTGTCTCTAATTTAGCAGTGTAAGACAGCTAGTCATCAGCACCCACTGCCAATTCTGGGGCTACTCTTTGACCAATGAATAGTGGGATTGACCGTCACATTATAACATCCCCACGGCCCAAAGGGTGAGCACGTTTGGTGTGACAGGGATTCGAACCCGCAACCTGAAGATTGCGAGTTGAGCGCCCTAACCACCTGGCCATGCCGGGCCGAGTATTGAGAGTAAATAAATAAATTATTATTTGCAACAATACTCATCTTTGTTAGAATCTTTTAAGTTTAGTGCTTATTATTAAACTATATTACTAGATGGGCATTTTCAATACAGAATAATTATGAAATTTCTAATAGATTATCAAATAATAATAACAATACAAGATTAAAAAATAATACTAATACATTTATATTTTCAATGGTGAATGAGTGTTGAAATTATCTCCCTTAACAAAATCCCCAAAAACTTAATGAAAGCATCTACTAATCTAATCTGAGAGTAAAGACAAAGTTTTTCAAAGCAATAGTGTTTGTAAAGTATAGCCAAAAGTGCAGAGTTATCTTTTATTATAAGTGGGATTTATTAAATTATAAATTTAGGCCATTTGAAATACCTTGTCATCAAAAAAATATTTTAATTCAGCTTCTCATACTCATTACCCATTATGAAGGATAACTTTGGGTATAACTAAGAGACTTGCTGAAAAAAGTTACTTTTTTTGAACATTTGAAATGTATTTTAAGTTTTAATTTTTTTAATACTAAAGAAAAATACACTTGCAACTGAAATATCAGTTTCACTGAAAGTGTTAGGTTTGAAAAAAAAGATATGACTGTAGGATATCCTAATATTTCCCAATAAAAGTCCATTTCAATACTTACAACATTGCTCTCGTAGCATCAACCACGGAGATACTGCTATCATGGCCTACCCAAGCTAGTCTGTTTCCGTCTGCTGAAAAACTGACACTATGAACCCAGCCACCTAATTATAGAAAAGGTAAGGAACAAAATAAAATATCCACATAAACATATTTACCAAAACTATAAATACAATTTTTTCCAGGATGTTTTAAATATACAAAAAGACAAGAAACTTGGCCACCACCAGTATAAACTTTTTTCATAAAAAAAATCAAAAATCAATCTATATATATATATATATATGTGTGTGTTACACATTTCTTTTCTTTTTCACTGAAAGTAAAATTGAAAAGAGAATCTGACATGGAGGCCTAATGTATTCCTTGATTGGCCATATCTACATTAAACAGTTGGTCTACAATATAATATTGAATAATGGATAAAGTGCAATGTTATAAGATTATTTACAGATCTAAATTAATTTAAGTTACTGTATGGCGATTTAAGAGAACTTGAAAACCCCCAATGTTATTATGTACTAACTCTGATTTGTTGCTTCAAAGAGCAATAAGAACGTACACCAATCTGATTTTGTGAACATAATTAATTAATTGCTTTTTTCAACTTACTTGTTCCACTCGAAAATTCTGCCATCATATTTCCAAGTGGCATTTTAGCACCCCAAGGTGTTGGTTCTGGTTTCTTTTCTACATCTTTGATGTAGGCAGAAAAAATTCTACAGATAAAATATAAAGAGACTTAGTAAAGGAATATTGATTTTGATAACTAATTTTTCATTAGAAATCTAGTGGCTGAATCAAACTGAAGTAATTAAAGTTAGTTTATGAGCCAATTAGCAAAACGTTATTACCAATTCTTTATACACAGTATGAAAAGTACATAGCTAGTGTCACTCATCTGTTTTATTCATGTTTCTAATATTATATAGATTTCCACATTCTCTAATTTGAATCCTTGTCTTCAAGACATTTATCAGCAGCAGTTTCTTAAGAAACAATTAGCATTAAATATAAATCAATTGTTGTGCACTGGCTGGAACTGAACAAGTTGGCAAATGTAAGTGTAGGATAGAAATGGTGTAAATGCGAACCTCAATCAAATGTAGAAGGAAAACAGTGCATTTCTGGGTTTAGTGATAACACCTTTACTAACTTCAATTTCTAAAGAAAATCATACTTTTAATTAATTAAAAAAAAAGTTATCTTTATTTTCCACATTTTACACCTTCTAGTGATTAATAAACGAGTCACAGGATATATCCAGTAGTTTATTAGTATATAAACTTTTCTTATTCATTAATTCCTAGCACCATTTGCAAAAAATAATAACTGATCCATAAATGACTCTGAGGTAAGTTTTAGCACAGTTCAGTTCTAGAGTTGGACAATTTAATTGATTAATCAATATAATTAACTATGAGCAGTGATTATATCAATTAGTATTGTGTTAACTAATCGATTAAATGAAATTACAAATATTATTGCTTGTCACAAAAATAATCAGATATTAATGTTTCCAATTATTATGCTTTTGATTATTCCAACAATCAACTAATCAAGATTAAGGTTTCCAGTTATTACTATTTTTGATTATTCCAACTATCCACGCAATTGAAACATTGCCACCAAACCTGTTCTTCCTATCTATCTGTTACTAATTTTGAACTGCTGACTAGAAGGAAGAAAACTAGCTGGCAGCATCCACCACCAACTTTTTTAATATTTTTTATTTGTAGATACCATTAGTTTGAGGAATATTGGACTAATCAATTAATCAAGTTGATTAATTATCAGCAAATACCACTAATTTCCCAGCTCTACTTAGTACAGTGTTCAGATGCAGAACATTTTCCACAGTTAGTTTTTTGCTAGACACGAAAAAAGAGAAATCACAGACTTTTCATGACTACACACATTATAATTTCAAGACCAAAACAGTGAGTTGCTACAATCCACAAGCTATAGAAAACAACAAACCCAAAATCAGAGAAAAAAAATAATGAACCTGCAGATTTTTTGGTTTCACATTCCTCTTTATTTTTCGTATCAAACACTTTTTAGCCAGAAGACAAAATGAGACTGAAGAGATCATATAAACTGTTGAAACTGGTTTCTCTGATATCAAACTTCTGACAGTTTGTTCCATTTACTATAGCTTATCATTAATAAATACATACTATGAAGCATTAAGATATGTAGTATTTGCATATTACACAAGGTTCATGCATTGTACTTCAATTCCTTGACCAAACTTCTTTGGTTATTAATCTGGTTATCCTTTTTTACAAACAGTTGTGCATGTTTACAACTGATAATATGCAATAATTGATCAAAAATCAACCAAATTCAGTGGTTAAAGATCATGTGGATACAAATTAGGATTTAAAGGTATTATGAAATAATTATCACAGTTGCTGTTTAATACTTTCAAGTGAGTCATTCAATTGAGTAGTGAAATGCTTCAAACATGTAGGAAACAATATAAACTCTGTAAAAACTGTAAGAACAGGTGAAAGTTAATAGTAAATATTGCAAAAAACAACAATAATGTTGTATTACAATGTTCTAAGCATTGTGAATAAAAACTATGAACACTGAAATACTAATGCATTCATAAATTTTTTTTTCTAAAATCATACAAACACAGTCTCACAAAATAAGTAACTCAGGTTACATAACAGTTGCTTCTTAATAAAAAAAACATTCATCAAAGCCAAATAAAATAGGTAACTAAGGTTACACAACAGATGTTTCATAATAAAAAACATTAATCAAAGCCAAATAAAATAGGTAACTAAGGTTACACAACAGATGTTTCATAATAAAAACATTAATCAAAGCCAAATAAAATGGCTAACTAAGATTATACAACAGATTTTTCATAATAAAAAACATTAATCAAAGCCAAATAAAATAGGTAACTAAGATTATACAACAGATGTTTCATAATAAAAAACATTAATCAAAGCCAAATAAAATGGGTAACTAAGATTATACAACAGATGTTTCTTTAATATTTGTTTAGTGGATGATTTTTCTAAGATAACTTAAACTACATTAAACAATAGAAAAAATAGATACTAATCTTACCTAGCTTTAAAATCTGTTGATCCACAAGCCAACAGAATATTATTAGGATGCCAATCAATGCTGCACAACAAAGAAAGAAGTTTTAAAATGCAGATAAAACAGTTTTATATAATAGAAAAATGTGGATACGTTAAAAACTAAAAGCAAATATTAACTTTGAAAAACCCTTTAAATTATAGAAGTTGTTAAAATAGATACAACACCTAAGTAAGCTATTGTTTCAGAAAGCAATACTTCAGAATAACTTCAGCAACACCATTCCTCACACTTAAATTCCATCATGTGTTAAGGGCTAAAAACACTACTAACAGAGAGGATGCACAACTGATAACCTAGGTAAGAGTGGTCACAGAGACTTTTTTATGGTTTGCTTGACACTCATAATTAAGACTAATTATTTTGTGTAATTATATTGAAGATTTTTAGCAACTCTTCTAGTAGAAAGAAAGTTATTATATACTTGCCTGAGAACAAACAGTTTAGCTCAGGAAAGGTTTAATAATCGAGTAAACTGATAAGCTATAGGAAAAAAAAGTTTTGTCTTCTTTTCTTCATATGTGTACTTTAGTTACTACAGTTGTTCTGAAGGTCCAATTGGATTACTGCTTCAAAGTTTATCACCTTTTTAATGTGTGGTTTGAATCATAATATATTAGAAAGCTTATGAAAATTTTTGCAATGATTTTCTTTGTTGATTTAATATGATGCTAAGAAGTGATAACAAGAAGTCACACAAGAAAATTACTAGTCCTAGTTGTGTCAGAGCTTATAGTGAAAAAGTTCTAATCTTTATAAACTTGTAATATTCTGAATACCAAAATTACAAACCTTGTAACTGTTGACCTAATAGGCTTTTTAATGTGTTTGCTGACCCACCAATCATTTTCTTCTTCAAAATAACAAACAGATATCAACCGAGCACCACTACCTACTGCAAACTTGTTCTCTGTTGAAGGAAATAAATATATATCAATCAATATGAAGTGCTAACGTATTTTCTATCAAAATAAAAACTAAGCCTAAATGCTAATAATAACCAAAAAATAGAGTTCTGATATTAAAAAATATAACTGCATACATCTGTGTCAAAATAAAAAAATTGCAAAATTTCTTTCTTGAAGTTCTTTTTATTATTATTTAATATGCTGTTATTATGTTTTTAATCCATCCAAACAATAATGGTTCCCAATCTATTAAGTCAACAAACAGAATTTTTCCTCTGGACACCCCTAGTGGTGCATCAGTAAGTCTGCAAGCTTATGACACTAAAAACTGAGTTTCAATACCTGCGGTGGGAAGAACCCAGATAGCCCATTGTGTAGCTTTGTGCTTAACAGCAACAAACAAAAAAAATTTTTCTTCTGGTGACATTGCTTCAAAAATGAAGAGCTAAATGTTTCTCCAAACATGTTTAAATTCCTATTCACCATGGCTAAGTCTAGTGTGGGGTCTACTTAGATCTCAAGTGACTGTATATGTTCCTGTGTTTATCTATATCCACAATATGACTGAGTCTAACATAAAATCTTATGATGGTGAAGTGTAATGCTTCTAAAATGGCTTCTTTTCATCTAAAAGATGTGGGTAAGAATCTACTGTCAATTTTATTATTTAGACATTTAAAGGGAGGAAATACAACTGTGTTACATAAACATATAAGCTTTAAAGATTTATTTAGATGACTAAACTAAACAATGTTTTCTGGTAAGTGAATAATTACTAGAGAGCTTACATGGACATATCTGTGGCATCAACATATAACCAATGAAGTAAAGGCAAATTAACTAGAGGGCCTGATTTATCCTTGTTTTCTATGGACAAATAAATTATAATAAATTATAGTACATTACTGTTGGAAATTTCACAGTTCAATGACTTTAGTACAATCCTCAAGAGTACAGGGGATCTTCAAAGAAAAACTTGTACTCTACATGTCCCAAGATAATTTGTAGCATGCAACATGATCATTAACATTTCTTATCATGTATAATTAATAACATATTTTAACAACAAATATAGTTTGACAAAAAAAAATGTTTGAGTTGATTTATATTTGTAATAAACAGAATCTAACATTAGTTATTTATTTTCTTAATGGCTGTTAGGGTTCCAAGAGGAGCTTAAGAGAACATAAATAATGACTTTTGATCGAAGTTATGTTTGAAAGATTAAGGGTTAAGGCAGTGTTTTCCAAACTTTAAATAGAGGCACTCCCCTAACTAAGCAATGTTTCCATTGTATCCACCCTCCTCACATTGAAATAACTTTTACCAGTGATAACAGCTAAATCAACATTTTCTTTACTTTTCAGCAAAGTAATAGTTTTATTAGATTATCATTGTCTCCATATCTTCTGTAATCATTTTTGGGCTCTCCCACCAAACCCCCCCCCCCCAACAACCACCAATATGTTCACACAACAGTTTGGAAAACAATGGGTTAAGGGATTCCAATTTTTATTATGGCAAACTTCATACACATTCATTATTGGCACTTTGAAGCAAAATGAGATAAAGTAAAGAAAGGAGAGAGATATGGAGATCACCACATGTTCAATGACTTAAATCTTTTGCTACAGGCTGGATCAATTCAATCAAGTTTGTGACTTCAAATTGACCTTTAGAGTTTCCATACTAAATTACTTTTAATATGTTTTGTGTATCTTCAGAAAATTTTACAAGCTTTCAGTAAACATTACAAGCCTTTTGTAAACAAAAAAAAATCAGAAATTATAATGATGAATTTTTAATAAAAATTTATCTGTGAAAATATGAAGTCAAAGTGACTGCTCCAAGTGAAAAGTGATTTTCATGTTAAGGTTAAAAATATTTTTCTTTAGTTGAAAATTGTCAAATTCTATTTGCAAAATCTCTAAAACCTCCTGAATAAATTTCAAACATTTTTTGTCAGTAAAATTTTATATCTGTTATTTTTTCTACATTAACTCTGTACACATTAGGTCATTTGACCGATCTTGTAACTACCACAAAAAATCTAAATTACTTTTTATCTTTCTAGAATGACTGCAAATTGTAACAGTAAACAACAGCTGTTTATCCTAAATAGCTTAAAGCTCATAACATTATACAACTGTTTCTATTTAACTTTTGTTTTATTGACCTTTGAACTATGTCCAACTAATAATCCTGTCAAACAAGTCGTAAATCACTCAGCAAATGTGTAGCTCACATTACCTTGTGAAAAATTATTATGATTTTTCTTTATTTTACCTAATCTACCTGAATAAGTTCCTATTTTTTAACTTTTAGTTACTTTTATTATAATAAATAAAAGAATATTCATGAAAAACAAGAAATATAGTACTTACCTAGTTTTTCTTATTGTTGTTGTTGAGTGTCGATGAAACTTAAGCCTACTTTTTTATACTTTATTTTTTAGTTAGTTAACGCTTTCGCCTCGGGCTTGTGTAACTTGCAGAAAATGTGTCATGAATTTCACTTGTGCAACAATACATATGGTAACTCTGAGACTTCTTAATGTATCCTCTCAAAAAATGGTAGAAGTAACTTTTACACAAAAAATGAAATTATTATAATTGTTTTTACAAAAATTTGTTATTTATCTATTGTAGTTACTTGCACTCAAACTCTTAACAAATTTTCATTCTAAGTATAAAATAATTAATTTTTAATGTTTTAATCTCATTTCTTGTCCTTTACTACTTATTATTTATCTTGACACAAGTCAATGGTGCCCTCGAGGCACATTACAGTGTTTCTGGCAGACATGTGCAACCCTTCGGCAAAATTCTTGCACACCATGTAATATTGGAAGCCTTCAGAACTGACACAAATTATAATGTATATTTAAAAAATGTTTAAGCTTTTCAGTTATGCATTTTAAAAAATAACTAATACATAATTAACTACAATATAAAAGCAAAACCTAAATAAAAATTAAACTGTATCTCTAACTATAAAATATTTAGGTAAGAAATAACCATAAGTGCTATAGTCAATCAAGCTGCCAAAAATACTACACTCAGTTACACATACTCCATGAAGATAACTGTGCACCTATTTCAAAATAATTACTGTTAGATTATAGTGTAGAATGATCTCTTTCTAACAGGTATACACATGTGTACATAACATCTACATGTAAGCTACAAAGCTCAAACAAACCAGTTGAAGGTGGACATGGGACCTGTAAGAGGTTGAAAACATTTATTACTTGTTTCAGCTGTATTCATTCAGAGGTCTTTGAAATGTATGAGTGAAAAGGTTATATAAGCATCTTAAACTTAAAGTCTAGACATACATCTCCAAAACTACCACTGTATTATTGAAGATACACAGTATCAAAGTAAAGAATTTTCATAGCTCATTGATCACACTGACAATATGTCTGAAGTTTTAAGTAGTTTTTAAACATTTCCTTATAAAATTAAGAACTTAAAACTCATATAATATTATAACTTATTAGATTATAATTTATTAACTACATTTTGATGCCAAGCTTATTTGTATACCAAGATAATAAAGTAGATTAATTAAATTTTGAATATAACTCTAAAAAAGTTGTGAGAAGCACACTTTGATCTGCCCGTGATAAGAGGGTTACAGCAGATTAGAGTGAATTAAGAATTTAAAAAAATCTGTTATTTTCTCTACCCTATCTCAAAACAGGATTGGTCAATTTGATCAACCTCGTAACCACAAAAAAAAAAGAAAAGAAGAATCAAAATAAATCTAAATTACCCTCTTTTTCTTTCTAGAATGACTTCATATTGTAACATGAAACTACATTCATTTATCCTAAGTAGTTCTATATTCGTAACAGTATACACCTATTTATAATTAAATTTTATATTGCTTTATTGCCCTTTGAACCATGTCTAACTAAATCACTCTTGTAAATCACTCTTGGAATGTGCAGCTCATGTTATGCTAACAAATTACATTACCCATGAGCTGCTTGCATGTGTGCCTCATGAAACATTTTTATTATAATATTATTATTATTTACTTTACCTAATCTAACCTTAACTAACCTAAAAGGATCCCTATTTTTACATTTTAATTACTTTTATAATTATACATAAAGAATAAATATGAAAAACAATAAATAAAATACTTAATCAATCTTCTTTTTTCTTGTTGTTGATTGTGGAAGAGAGTTAACCCTAATTATGGGTTATACTAATGGTAGTAATGCACTTAATAATTTTTATTTAATTAAATAATTCACCAGACAATTAGAATAATAACATGAAAAAGTAGATCAATTCCCTTACCTCTTAAAATTTTTATGGCTCTCTAATTATGCAACAAGAGCCATTACAAATTCATCCAAGCTAGTCATTAACATTCTCATGGGAACAATGTTGGTACTCTGAGTAAAATTGACATTTAACTGTTCAGAACCTAACACTATACAATACATCATTTGATAGATGAAAACCTTGATTTTCTATTGATTATAGGTAATATATAATTAAACGTAAGAGAGAGATATCAATGATTTCTGAAAGAGAGTATGTAACAAGTAAGTTTGGCAGGAGGGGTCTGATTTTCTACTTTATAGGTCTGTAAGCAAACAAAATTGAAAATTATAAAAATTATGGCTTGTCTTAGAAATGATGATTTTATAGAGAGTAACTTATGTTTAATTTCATATTTTTCGAGGGGTGGTGGATAAGATAGGGAAGATATGTTAAGAGAAAATGCATCACATGGGTCACACTAGGGAAAATTTAGGATCCTTTTTAATATTGCCTTGTAGAATTAAAAACTTAAAACTTATATATTATTAAAATATGAATGATTAGCTGAGATTTTATGCTATTCTAATTGGTATGACATAAGCAAAAAGTAGTTTAATTAAAATTTTGAATATAAGGCACTAAAACATTGTGACATGCACAGTAAAAGATATCCGTGGCGATGGGGTTTATGTGTTATATTTTACTTTAACGGTCAAAACAGCAAATAACTTAGGAAAATGCTACTCATCTCTGAACAATACTAGGCTGTTTATCCTTGTTCAAGAAGTTTGTCTAATAGAAGGTGATAATATAATAGGAATACTTTAAGGAATTACCTAGATAATTAAGAGCTTAGAGTTTTCTTTATACATAATTTCAGGATAAAAATCTAGTATGCTCTTGTGAAATATTTCATGATGAACTAAATATTACACAACCCACCTTAATATTAGATATTCCATAAAACCAACTCACCAGAATGATGTTAAATTTGCTAATTCACATTAGGTAAACTATGTGCATTTAATTCTAACTTGAATTGTGGCTCTGTGCACTTCAAACCTAGTATTGATCAACTTGAAGAAAATAAGTTGACTTAAACTTACAAAAAAAAATGAAAAAGTGAAAAAAAACAAAACATGAGTGACCCAAGGGTCTCTTGCAAAGTGAGTGCACAGGTACACATACTCTTGGGATGGGGAACACCATAAAGGAATGAGCCACAGAACAAAAACTCCATTAAATAGTTTGCATGAAAGACATTAAGTAGTTGCCTGAGTTAAAACTGTACGAGTATAAATCCAGAAAATAAGGTTTACCAATGAAGCAAGAACCAGAAAACACAGCTGCATGAAGAATAGGTTAGTGTGACCTTCCTGGTAAAGCTGTTAGGTTAGTGATTTGGAGCCTCAGAAGGAAAGAATAAAGAAGACATCAAGCTAAGAATTTAAACAAAAGATGAAAATTAGGACTGAGAGTAAAAGAGTCAAAGTAGAAGATATTCAAGAGATAGGGAAATCCAATCATAGGAGTCTTAAGTTTGAAAAGGACATTGCAACTGAAAGTCAACACCAAGCATATAATAAAAAAATCAGCAATAATAAAACAATCACAAGAGGGAGAAAAGAGGTGGGGGAACCTTATGAGTTGAGGTGCATGCAAGAATCTTGGCTAAAAACTAGCAGAAACAACTGGAGTAAAAAAAACAAATGCTGCATACTTGAGTTACCAAAGCACAAAGACAAGTGTTATTTGATCATCATCAGGGATAGAATAACCAAGAACAAAGACAAGTTCAGCAGAAGTTACAAATGCAGAAGACCCCGAGTCCTGGGTCCAAGATGAAGAATGTAGATTAGAACCAAGCACATGATGCACAATGGTGGTAACGTAGCTCGACATCAAAGAAACTTCAGTCACCATTTAAAGAAAATAACTTCTATGGAGAAGAGTTTGGACCTCAGGAGGTTTCAGATGCATAGATATGAGAAAACATATTGAACAAGATCCATGGAAAAAAAGTCATGGAAAGTAATAACATTAATATTATTTTATAGTAAGTCTATCATACATAGGCCTTGGTCATTTTATACTAACCAGATTGAAAGTAATTACTGAAACACGAATGCTGAAGTAATGATGATGGAGAATATTCCTGTCAAATAAACCACATTAGTGTAAGAAAAGATAATTTGTATCAGAAGCTTTAACTTAAATTTGCATCTTTCTTTCTCAGAATCAAGGAAATGAAGGTAAAACAGATAACACTTCAAATTTTAATTAATAGTTGAAAATAATAAACACAAATATTCCATAATTCTTAATGAAAAAAGAATATGACTGCACATTGCCTAGGAAAGGGATGAGCTTTTGAGATACACAGATTGCTCAAATGGAGTACTGCACATGGAAAATGTGTAACTTAATGGTGGAAGGGTAGAGTCAGTGGTGTAACTACAAAAGATGCCCCCCCCCCTGCATAAAAAAGTAAGCTCCCTACATTTATTTCTCTGTTATGATTCTGGCTGGTCGATATCATTAACTTAATAGAACAATGCAACTACCCTTTAGTTCAAACAAATTAAATTGTATGATTCTCCCATTGTTGGCATTTCTTAAGTTTGTCAGGCCCTTTGCTCCCATCCCCACAATTCAGGGACATACTTATACCAGTGGGTAGTATAATTCTGATTGAATGCATAGACTGGTTCAGTACATGTTATTACATGTAGGGTTAGGAGTTTTGTTCATAGATTTGGGACATGTGTAAAAACTTTTGGGCAAAGGTATAAGATAGCAATCTATTCTGGGGTGAGGTGAGTAGAGGTTCTGAATTCAGTTGATCTGATGGAAATATATAGAGAATTTAAACTCCACAAACAATAATCCCAAGCTTAAATCAATGTAGAATTCAATTCGAAACTCTTTAAAGACAATTTTTACAAAGAAATATCTTAGAATAATAATAGATACACAAATTATGAATGTATATTGCTTACAGAAGTTCTGCATTATGTTGAAACAAACAAGACACTACACGTGAAGACTGCTTCACAAAGGACAATGAAGCTTAAACACTCAACACCTCTAATACAAACTCACCTTGTGGTGACCACCGTACACAAGTGGCCGCTCTGTTGATTCTCAGAAGTACTAGCATTGGTTTCCATTTCCCATCAACTTGTGTCCAAACATAAGCATTTCTGTCCTAAAAATACAAAATAGTTGAACTTTTATATGTTACAAAATCTTGACAGTTAATCGGGACATTTGAGAACTACACAAATCACTCACAACAGGCAAGATAAAATGATCACCTTTTCAATCTTTTTATTCAGCCAATTTTAGTAGCTGAACTTATAATTTACCTTTAAAACACATCCCTGCTCATTCTTCATTTAAATAAAATCAACAGAAACTATATATACATATATAGGAAGTGTTCTTAATCATAATAGGTAATGAAACCCACATTGTAAGGAACTATATCAGCTCAAGTAATTGAAGGTTTAGGATTTCATAAAACTTAGCTTATATAGCTTTAAGAGGAAAATTGTTAATTGATGTATTTTTTTTCACACTCCCTTTCTTATACCCACTCTGACCTTTTAACAAGTTTAAAAGTGGAGATATTAAAAAACCATTTGTAAGAAAGTTCTCAAAACACATTTAGAAATACTTCACAGCTAACAAATATTAAAAAATAGGAAAATCACAAATATCTAAGTCCAAAAGATGATTGAAGAATAAACGATGTTCATTAAAACTATGAGCATTTATCAAATCAAAAGTAGAAATAAAACTATTTAAATTTAATAATATATCAAAGAAACAAACCTTCCACACAAATGTAAACAAAAAATGGACCAGCTCTTGTTGACAATTAACAAATTTGCAATAACAGCAATGCTGATTATGTTCAATTCAGTCAAAGAATAAATGAATATACATCTATTCTGCTTTCCTTTCATTCCAAAGCAGGTGTTTGTAATGTACTCTCTCAGTTTTTCATATTAATAACCATTCCATTTGTTTAAACAGTTTTGTACTGAATAAATATTTAAATTCTAGCTAAAGTATAACTATATCATAATAGCTTTAACATGTTCTGTACAGGTTTAATAACAATTGAACAATCATTATTAAAGGTTGGGCATGTAAATGACAGGTGTAATGGTCTAATGTTGATCTTATTAGATCTTGATTATCTGCACGAAGCATAGCAGTTTACAGGGGTATGCCATGAAGTAACTGACCTACATTTTAAATACACATAATGGTTTCTTGTCTTTGAATTTTTGAAATACATAATCCTTCATTTTCAAATGCAAACAGGACATAAAAATGTTAATAAGCACAATAAGTAATATGTTGTTTTTCTGTTTTATGTCTGAATAAATAAGGCACACTCTGAAGTAAACAAGTAACAAAAAATTGTATTCTAAAATTGATGGGATGGAAAATATCAGAAACTGAAAGCATTTGGGATGGAAGAAAAAATCTGCATTCCAATACCCATACAGTGCACTCACAGAGTGAATGCTAATATGTCAAACACAGCAATGAGTAATGCAGATTTTCCTTCCATCCCTATATCCCGACAATTTTAGAATACAATTTTTTGTTACTAGTTTCTGCATTTTTGACGAATCCAAGCCTTGGCTTCTAGTAAGACTGTAACTTCTAGGTGGAAGGTACCATTTGAGTTCTTATTCAGTTCAATTCTACAGGAAGCCATAATATAATCTATAGATGTTACTTCTTGAAGCAAGATAAGTCATGACCAGGATACTGCATGGCACAGTAAGGAACATACAGTAGATTAACTTCTTCTATATAGCACTCATAATGGCTTACTAATCAGAGACCATGATTAGTACTTTGGGCTGTAACTAACCCATCCCTACATATGGATTGCTACCATGCTCCCTAACTGATGTTTAATTACATGAAATATTATACATTTAATACAGTCTGTCTTAATAGCAATGATAATGGGGTTTCATATTGTGAGTATAAATATTTTTTTTTTTATCAAATTAAAGGTTTTTTCTGCATTTTATTAATTCATTCCAAGTTAGATCTTTGTTTTCATATCACAGTTACTTTTTACTTCGCAGTTTTCCTTGGTTACCTTACATTTGGTCTTTTCAACGAAGTTCTTGCTTTTTTTCTTGTTTATTTTCAATTTAACTATAATATTTCTGTCTTATTATCAAACATGGTTTCATCTCTCTCTGTACTTGGATTATGAGCACTAGCAATGTACTTCAAAACTGAATAATTTTATTAGCCCACATTAATAAGGTACCATCAAGATTGACAGTACTAGTTAAACAAGCAACATATTTTATAGACGTAGATCAATGTAAGATCCCAAGTGATTCATGTTTGCTCTTCTAACTCACTGAGGTTAAGGTCACATCTTAAATGACTATTTTATTTTTCTAACAAGCAGAGATCAACATCATATTTTAAGTGATAATTTTGTTCTTCTAACAGGTTGAAGTCAACACCATATCTCAAATGATTATCTTTTGGTCTTCTAACAGCTGATGGTGAACATTACATCTTAAGCGACAGGTGTTTATAAAAATGCAGACAACAGAGTGAAATCAATTATGTAATTTTTTATTCAGACACAAACAGAAATGTCTGCTGACAGATTCAATAAAACAAACTTCTCGTGCTTGGTATTTGTATTTTTTTAAGTTGTCAATAAAACAAAACTTTCTACACGAGCAGAAATTTCTTAATGGTAAATACTTAATATAAACATACAATTTGCATGTTTTAAAACACATCAAATCTGATAAGATTAGTATCATAGATCATGCCATCTATTGATTGATATGCATATTGAGCAATATTAAATAATCTGTATCATTGCATATATTTTGGGCTGTAACTAACCTATCGTGGATTACTTAAGGCTTTAGATTTGAAAGGTACATCTTAGGTTGTGAATTGTTTTGGTGTGCAGGCTGGAAGTAGGCACACTGTGGTTTATGAGTTACAGCTGGCAGAAAGGAAGAGAGAAGATGAAGGAAATTGATGTTTTTGCAGCACATTTTCTAGATGTCAAGGAAGATTAGCCAAACTTTAGAGGCAGTTTTATAGTTTCTGCTGTCTTTTTGGATAGGTTTTGTCAGTGTCTTAGTGTGCACGCTACCATGTTACAAATTTACAAGCTGCCAATTTCAACCAGACTCATTCCTACATAGGAACTGCTACCAAGCTCCCCAATTTCTAACAGTTACAGTGACCATAAGTATAATTTGTGTCTTATTGTAATCTAATAATAAAAATCACAGTAACCTAAAGTTTGTTCTTGTGTTAGCTGAATAGTGTGTTGCCTTTACTAATGCATCAGCAGAAAATTTTTGAGCTACATGTATGAAGACCTAAATAGCATCCAAAATGGCTGCAATCTGTTGTTTCTTAACTAAATGATGTGCTATCTCTATCAACAGGTGTGCAAGTACTCTCTAATTATATCAGGACTTTACACAACATTCGACTGGTTACTTTGTGTACTTACTATTGATTTGTGAAATGATATGCCATCTTTACTGTTCCATTTAGAAATATGTTCTCAATTTGTCAGGATACTATGAAGTGGCTATAATTTACTGTGTATGTTAACTGAATCATATGTTACTTTTGCTGATATGTCTATTGTAAAATTATCAAGCTACAATGAAAATGAAAAGTTATTTTTGACAATTTTCATGCTTCCAAGTTCATGTTAACCAACTGGTAACTGTCAAGAATCTTTCATCAAAGATAAATTTTTAAACTTCAGTTCACTAATACTATAGTTAACCAGTGAGAGTACCACTTCAATGGATAAGTAACACTAGACCTCTTATTACAATATTAGCACAATAGGTACTCTCAAGAATCATATTCTATTTGAAAATCTGAGTTATTCCTTGGCAAACTACCCAACAGATAATACTCTGTAACTCTCTAACTTGCATCAAATTCAAACAAAGCAACAATAAAAATTATTATTTTAACTGATTGGGACATGGGATCAAAAGTTATAGAGAAGTCAAAATTAAATTGATGGGTGATCTCCCAACGTTTAATCAACCTCTTACTGAAAACCTATTTGTGCTAGAAAGGTGTCACTTATTGGAAATTGTGAGAATTCCAAAAACAGTTATACAAAATACCTTTGAAAAACAAGCAAGCAAGGTTTTGCCTTTTGACCTTGAAATGAAACTCAAAAAATAAAAATTCTGAAATATTTCCTTGAAAAGTTATGTTTGGTTTTTATAGAAAATCACAAAAAAATCTGATCTAATCTACCCCTTCTATTCCAGAGAAACTTGAACACCCAGAAGTTCTAGCCTGTAAATAGCTGGAACAAATACTTTATATGAATAAGATGACACAAGTAAGACAATACCAAGACAACCAAACCTCACTTTAAACAGGCAGCAATCGCCAAGTGCTACTAGTAGTAAAATATTAAGGAAGTGTTTTGCAATGTTATACATTTCACATCTTCCTATGTTAAACAATGATTGTTGTTGTCTACATTTCATCAAGTTCACACAATGTACACCTCAACAACAACATGAATATTTATATCAGCAACCAGTTCTTCAACCAGTAACTTACTGCAAGCATGTAAAACATGCTGATATTGAATGTACACAAATTAAACCTTTGGCTAGTCCCTGGAAGCCAGAAGAGTCTATGTGCTTTGTAGTATTTTCTATGCTACCTTGGTGCACCAAGGAATTCAATGAACATTGTATTTTTTATAACTTCATTTTAAGAAATTTGCTGAAAAGAACTTGTGACTTACATTTGAGTAAAAAGATGTTTTAGAAATTAAATTAAATAAAACACTTTTTTTTATATTGTTTGATAGTATGCTTGGATCACGAACACGTTAAGTTCTGGCCAGGCTCATATTATTTATTGGTTAGATTTTGGCCTATCCCTGTTGGAAGTTACAAATTTCAAACCAGATATTTGGATACTTTGTTCATTTTCCTGAAAAATAAAAAACAAAATTTAGGTAAACTTACATAGGTTTTGACTGATTAGTTGGTGTGTGTCTAATGATTTCTCCCTTTTGCGTATAATGTAATTTAAGAGACTGTAAATAATTCTGGAATCTGTAACATTTAATATGCTTGTAATATGTTATCATTTGTGACAAAAATTCCTTAATTTCTGAAAACAATTGAGAATCTTTTCACATACCTGCTCTCTCCAACTTTCATTAGATCATATCTCTCTCCATTTAATTTAGACTTCATCTAACCAGTTTTGTGCAAAAATAATGTCCAATGAAAGAAAAATGTCTATTCTTGTATTTCTAAACAAACAGATGAAAAAATATACATCATTAAGGTGTTTGACAAAATATTCAAAGCCCACCTTTTTGCTGATCCCTTTCAATTGTCTGCCATTGCATTTTAAAGAGTTTGTACATTTTAGAAGTATTCAAATTCCTTCATCTTCAAAAAATGTTTTGCAATTGGTTGGTTGTCTGTAAATCAACTAGTTAAAAGGAGCCTTGGATATCAATTTTGGTTCAGCATCAACATCAAAGCACACAAGGCAATCTTAGATGTAGCCTAGTGATACTAGCATTCTGTCTCTGTTCCAAACACCCTCCTTCTCCTTCACATTTTTTTCACTGTATTTGAACAAATTGGGTGATAGGCCAATTTGACAGTGGTAATGGTGGAAATCTGCCAAATGACAACCAGTTATCATTCAATTCTATCAAATTATCTATCCTTGAATTGGCGTTTGAATTTGAAGTACAGATAGCAGCAACAATTTCTAATGCACATTTCACCAATATGATTCTTGTCATACTTTTGAGACTGCTTTTTTATGTCAGGTTTAATTTCAATCACAAAATGCAGTTTTATGTCACTTAAGGATTTGTCTCATTTTAGTTGCTTATGCAAACATTTGTTAGTTACAAAAAACTAAGTCGTACTAGTGAGAAAAAAGCTGAACAACAACAAAAAAAGCCCCGACAGTTACAGTGTATAATTTTTTGACTCCAAAGTATCTTGGCTTTTTAAGATCTTGATTCTAAAACTTGTGGTTCTTTTACAAAATGAAATGAGGTTCAGATACTGAAATCTGTAAGCCAGTTCTCAGGGGAGTATCCAACATTTTTCATCCTACTCTGATCAGTGTTATTTTGAGTCTTCCTCTCCAAGAGTTTGCATTTGATGTAGGTTTCATAATATTTTATAGAGATTTTAATCATTACATTCCAGTATGTATATGGACTGATATAAAAAAATTAAACAGCACCTTATACTTCAACTTTGAGTCATCCAAGGAAGTTCTCTTAACATTCTGATGCACTGATGAAGCAGGAAAAAAAAAAAGCTGAAGCTAGGAAATGAAGATCATTTTGTGTAGGCTTTGTGTATGTTGATTTAAACCTTTGCTCTAAGTGCTTAGGAGCTGTACTGATCTCTTGTTCAGTTACAAAGATAAAGGCTATGCTAGGAAAGACAGTCTTTTGGAATGAAAAAAAAAATCCTCTAGGATTAAAATCTGGCCATCAGTAGGATGCTGCAAATTGGTTTTTGCAATCTTTCTCTTGAGAGAGGAGACAGAAGTCAGATGATTATGGCTTTGCATGAAATTGGTTTACTTGCAGTAGGAACACCTCACCCAGATGGACTCACAAAGTGGGTTTTAATGTCACTTCCTGTAGTTTTTCCATTGATACTTAAATGGTAAAAACATATTTCACTTTGTTGTAAAAATTTATGTCAGTTTTTTTCAACTACTGTCTCATAAGTTTGGTGTTTCCTAAAAAGATTATAGCATACCTCTTTGTGGTCAAAAACTTGTCCAGTACTGTTTCTTTACGAGGAAGGCAGGTGGCTTTGATTGAAGACAGAAACATCTGTTCTTGCAAACTAAAGGTATTTTGCTAACATTGGGAACATTGACCTTTAAATTACTGTGTGTCTGCTGATGGCATTGGCCACTATATTCCCCGAAAAGAAAGTTTTCCTATTGTGAATGATAGCTGATAGCAAATAAGTAAAATCTTTCAGCTACATTTAACCACACATGACGTAAGGCCTATACAGATTCTCAAGAGATAGGTTACCATGTCCTTGAAAGAAATATATGCCAAGTGGATAGAGTACATTATTAACAAGGTTAGAAATTATCAGATACCCTGCTAACTCTGCTCTACTATGTGTATATGATAGTAAGTCTCATTCATGTCTGTATGCAATCAATTTGGTAGCTTGCAGGGAAACAACATATTATTTAAAGAGCGCTCAGAAAAAATAATGATGCCTGATTTCTGAAACTTCCAACACTTGATGATTTCAATATTCCTGAAACCCTGGACTACCCCTCCTAGGTCACTGGGCCAATCTCAACCAAACTTTGTGGGATGATAGTTTGGAAGGTGGCGTATGTTAATGGGGGTTCTCAACCCCATCTCCCAGTACTGCTGTTATTGAGCATTTATTATCTTTGCCGTAAATTAACGTTAACTACTTTCAGAGATGGTGCCACGTTGTAACACACACACACACATAAAATGTATTAAAAATTGCTATAACATAATATACATACATTGTGGAAGGAGAGCACACAAATGTCATATATATATATATATATCTCAGAGAGTGCTCTTGCACTCTTTATGGAGGAATGCAATGATAAAATATGGCTGCCACTATTGCAATAATACATAAACTCAGCTGAAGTTTCTACTCTAACAGCCACCATAAGGCTGATCTGAAGAGCCATTTCTTGAGTTATACTCACTTCCTACTCTGACCCCTGACGTTTACACTTTGGCCCGTAACACACTTCTGCAGCCAATGATCATCAATTAATTAAACATGTGAAACACTGTGGAAGGACATTAAGAGCTGAGTGTTGAAAGTGAGTAACAGAAAGCACCCTGACCATTGCACAGTATATACCATGTTTAAAGTTTATACATATTGAATTCTTAAAGCTTATACAAAAGTTTTCGTTAGGTAATAATGAATATCATAATAATATATGATGTTATAAATAAATTGTGTGAAAGTTAGGATTTTTGTGTCATTTATCATAGCATCCAACTCCCACATGTTTTTAATATCATAACCCGGACAAAGGAGAGGTACCTCAGCTTGTCTGAAACAGTTCAGATTTCTTAGGAATAGGATGGGTGTTCAGATTTTTTTGGAATAGCATGGGTAGGTTAGATTTTTTTTTTTTAATAGCGTATGAAGAGTATTATCCTTTTCTTACGGCAGATCATGCTGTGATAACACATCTATTTGTACCCATTTATTTCCTTCCCTTCCAAAGGTATGTACTTTATTACTGTTAGGTGACAGGGTAAGTTCTATTTCAAAAGAATGAAAAACAAATATTGACATGCATGAAGAATAAGTTATAGTAAATAACTTGACATACCATTTTATTTTACTAATGGATAGAAAAATTTTGTTACCTTGACATATCTGAAAGGTTTCCAACAATTAAACAGACAATTTCACTTATTTCCAAATTGCACTTTACCTACTATTTTGAACTTCTCACCAGTTTCTCATAAAATTATGCCTAAAACAAGTCTCTAGCACAAATAGTTATTGATCAAAACATCAATAAAGGGAAGGACAACAATGACCAAAAGTTAAACTCTCTGTAACCTTTGACTCCTAAGCAATCAGACTGATGATTGTATGTTTATATAAGACATATGAAACAGCAATAATTATGTTTAAAAACTAAAGTCAACAATTTATTCGGCTTTAATTATCTTTATTATACGGGGTTATTATAAAGTTAGTTGCATATTCTAACATTTAGTACACAAAAACTAAACATCACAGATTATAGTTGGTATATGACCTAATGACATTATGGGAAAGTCAATGTCAGAGTCAAAAATAACTGTCACCAAGTGGTGTTGATTGAGTGAAGTTTGCTTAAAGGAGGTTGTACATAAAATCATCAAATATGCCACGATTCATTCTGGCTTTGGAATTGGCTCCTGTCACATTATATATGAATGTTAGAATTGCTCTGGTAAAGACTTACTACAGTTAGAGTAATAACACTAGTGCAGCATTAGAATTCTAGGGGCATGAAAGCTGGAAATGCAAAAAAAATGCAGCAATGAGTTTTATAGGAAGCTAATTAAAAACATGCAGCAAACAGGATCAACTGCTGATGATAATTGGAACATAGTTTCATCCCTACATTTGATGGAGGAGGAGTTATGAATGAAAAAGTTTCCATGCAAGATGGTTTTCTTTTCCACATTGTAATGACTGTCAAGACTAATTTTGAGTCCAGAGTCAAGAAATTAGCTTACATTTCCCACAAACACATGGCCAGTATGATCTTCAGATCTCACTTTTGATGATTTTTTGGCTATGGCAAACTCCGGTCATTGGTCTATCAAGATGAGGCTGTTACCTTCACACATTTGAAAGAGAGCATAGGTTGCCAAGTGCGATTGTTGGAAATAAGTATCATTCATCCGTGTATCATGTTCACTCACAAATGCAAGTAGCAGTTGGCATAAATGGTGGTCAATATCAAACACTTTGCATGTTAACTGTAGAAATGTTCATGATCAGAATTCCTTGATGACAATTAGCTTTGTACTGGAAACAACATTTCCCATAATCTCATTAGCTCATCTACTATTATTATAGCTTTCTTGAGCCACATGAGCTGATTTTGTAATCTCATAATTCCATATTTTATTGAAAAAAAATTAAGTTACTTAAAAATGAATAGCATAACCTATATTAATGCAGTTAAGACAAAAAAGAATTGTTACTTTGACATACATAACCCTCAATACAGTGACTAAACTTACAGCTGAACATGTGACAATACGGTTTGTATTTGGTGCCCAGTCAATGCTGGTTACTCGAAGATCATGCTGTGATAACACATCTGTTTGTACCCACTTATCTCCTTCTCTTCTGAAGATATGTACTTCATTATTGTTAGGTGACAGGGCAAGTTCTATTTCAAAAGAATGAAAAACAAATGTTGACATGCATGAAGAATAAGTTATAGTAAATAACTTCACATTTCATTTTATTCTAAAAATGGATAAAAAAATTTAGCTCCTTTTTTTGTTATGGAATAATGCCATACTCAAATAAATGTTCCTAATTTGAAATAAATTCAGAATATCTTTAAATGTTTCATTCTTTACAGATAATTTGTCTAAAATATGTTCATGGAGTTTTAATGTCAAACAATTGTCATATTTCAAGTTCATACGATAATTAAATCTATATGTAAGCTCTACATTAATTTTAAGTTCAATAAAAGAGAATAATCACTTGGTTCAAAATATTTACACAATTGAATAAGAATTATCATTCAGTCAGTAGTAGACTGATTTCAGACATTGGCCAGGGAGAGGTGGGGAAGCTTCATTGTAACTCACAGGCTATACTTAACAGTCTTGAATCCTAAATTGTATAGATCTGTTTGGATGCCAGAACATATATTTGTATACTGTACATTTAAATCCATGTGATAAACAATGCAAACAATATACAAACAATATTTTACTTCTTTATAAGGTGAAATAAGTTATGTTTCTTATTTTACAAACTTAAATTTTAACTAAGGGATCCTTTCAATGCTTGGAGCCCAAATGCAGCCAGCTGACCTTCAGTTAAATAGCTCTGACAAACATATGGCCATCAGGCTGGTGAGGACACTCCCTTGAAACTGGAGGTTTTTCACTTTCAAGTTGAAAAAAAAGGCATTTTCCATTTCTAGGAAATAAGAACACTGTCTGCCACCTACATATAGTAGCCCACCAAGGTAATCTATCAATTACTCATCCCAAACCATCATTTTTGTAAACTACAACATTCTTCTTTTAAATGCTTTGCTAAATATAACTCATCATAGCCATATAACTTTCACTTGTAAAGCTATGAAAATAAAAGGCTACACCTTTCATTCATCTGAAACAAGTTAAAGCTTTCATTGTCAATACTGCTGTATGTTATTCAACAGCTTTACAGCAGGTGGCAAGTATAATAATGTATTTTACAGAAGTTTCGAAACAATATCTCTAAAAATTTTGGTTACTGGATGAAAGAAAGCTTTATCTGTGTATGACACTTCTATTTGATTTTGATTCCCATGGTTGAAAGAATATGATAAAAATAGAGCAATTACTACATTTATCTATATATATATATATGTGTAATTCATCAAACTGAGCCATATTGCCACCTACTCACCATGAAAGTTAATATTTTACTAATCTGAAAATTTATTTCTGATAGATACTTACCCCCCCAAGCCAGAAATGTTATTTCTCTCACACATCTGCCTATGATACTTGCATGCTACTAGCCTTGAGCTAACTCCAATCTAAATTCACTTGTTTAATGTGAACTGCATAGTGCATGATTACATCATCATGCAAAAATAGCCCTCCACCAAAAGAAAGGAGACAACCCACATGCATAGTAACTCTTGATATACATGTGCACTCATGATAACTTCATTCTTAGATGAGGCAAGGAAAAAAAAAAATGTTGGAAGTGGGGAGGTCGGGAAAACCACATCTCGTCTTAACAAGGTATAGTCTTCACCTGAGATGAAAGGGAGAGAAAGTCAAAAGAGTCTGTGAAGTGTCACAAGGATGGGTGGAATGTGATCATTACCAAACAAGCACCTGCACACGTGGTTGGTGAGCCAGTATGTGTAATGTGGTTAGGATGTGATCAGAAAGTATGTTATGTCCACAACTAGACTCTACTGGACAGACTCTGGTTGCAGAAGGAGAGCGCAATAGTTGAGTAAGGGATGACCTGTACTACACTGAAAGTGTCACCACCACCCTACTTCTCACTGTATTGTGCCAAGCCCAACTGGTGAGTATTCTTCATGGTCCACCATTCCAGCAGCTAGGAACTTTAAGTGGCAAAAGTCTCCCATGCTCCACTTGTAGGGGAAGAAAATTCATGTTGTGGATGCCCGAAGTCTCCAGATCCCCATTAGAGCACCCAGAAAGGAGACAGTGCAATGGGTGACCACAAAAACCTGTTTTTTAAAGCAAGCAAGCACAAGTCAAAGAAGTCAGCAGTCACTTCCCTGGTGCCAACTTTTTCCACAATAGCCTCTGGAATTGGTATGGTCTGGATCATACAATTGAATAAATTTGTATACCATTAGGATACTTCAAGTGGTCCTGCAACACACCCCATCTCACAGCGGGCACTGGTAGAGCCAGGATGGATGGGATCAACACTTTCTGTCCTCCTGTCTCAATATGGATATTGGGGAAGAAGATGGTGTGTTGAGTGAAGAATGGTGATTGGGAAAAGCCAAAATCCTGCATGATATGAATCAGCTAGGTGATGAAGATAATGAGCAGTGGACACATGTGGAGTCATCCATATGTTCACCAAGAAGATCTCATCCATGGGCTGGCAAAAGTGGGAAGCAAGAGAGTGAGAGAAGTGATGAATCTGATGCAAAGTAATGTGAAACAGCCTGTGAGCATCAACATCTAGAAAATAATATACTAAGTGGAGGGCTGACGGACCCATCTAATAAGGGTAGAAGGAGAGAAGTCCCTGGAAAAAAGAGGGAGCAAAGGTATCTGTGAGAGGTGTACCCAATGAAAGACCTGGAAGTGGAAAGACCACTCTGTTGGTAGAATACAGTCTGGCCAAGATGAGTGGTCCACCAAACAGGTTCATATCTCCTAGCACATGAACAATGAGATGAACTTGATGTGAATGGGTCCAGAAGAGTAGGTCCAATGCCCAAAAGCAAACGGGTGCTCCCATGATGGTTCATGTAAAAAATAATTGTGGAATTATCAGAGTGGATTATAACCATGTGATCCACCAGTAAGGGCAGGAAATGGGAAAATGCCTGACAAACAGTAAGAAGTTCAAGCATGTTAATGTGGAGTAAAAAACTCATCCTGTATCCAAGTGCCAGAAGTCATGTCATCATTCAAAGAAGCACCCCAATCTGATATGGAAGCACTGGTGAAGAGATGAGGATCCAGCCTGTGAGTGGTAAGGAAACACTGTAAGTAGTATTGACACAGTCCAGCCACCATGACAATTCCTTGAGTAGTGGATAGGAAAGATTCACAATTGAGGATAATGGATCCTGAGAAGGAATCCACTGGTCTAGCAAAGTCAACTGGAAGAGGTATACCTCACAAGCATAGGAGAAAAGGCTGATCTTAGCTGAGATGAAAGTTGAAGAAGATGCATCAAATATTGAGTGGGGGTGAGAAATGACTTGAATAGCTTCAGAAGCCACTGCAACCGAGTAGCTTTCTGTATTGGGTTCATAAACAGATGAGAATAAAATACTGGTGATGAGCCACATACTCTGTTGATGGTGTGTTTAGCCAAAATATTTGATACTGCATCTTCAATACACCATAGATAGATTGGGTCTAAGGAAGAAGAAAAGGAAACAAGAGGAGATAGGGGGGGTGAAATGGTGAAAACTTGAAGAACTCATCTGTTAGTAGAAAAGTATGACCAAAGGTTAGTGAACCAAGACAGGCAGGCTGAAAAAAGGATGCCTTACAGAGATGACACAGATAACAAGTAGGTAGTTGTACACTGGGAGGAGTGTATCCTGATCCAACAGGTCCCAACAGCAGAGGAACCAAGTGAGCAGAGATAGGGCAGAAGAAGTAATACAGACCACCATGGTAAAAAGAAGGGAAAGAACCTCTTCTGAAAACCCATCTGGAGCACAATGAAGCACCTCAGACATGAAGTGTTGGGAGGATAGATAGCATATGATTGTGGTGAGAAAAAAATTAGGTTGCAAAAACAGTGCACTTGAGAGTGAAACAAAAGTAAAAGAGGTCTCCTCCCCAAGCAGATGACAGAGATACCACAGACTGAAAATATAGAAAGAGAATAGAAGAACATGTGTACGCTAGGAAACAGAAGTCAAGAAGATGGAAAGAATGAGGCATTTGGGTATGGGTGCAAAGCTGTTTAACTCTTCCTACAAGGGGTTGGTCGATATGACCAAGTCACGTGATCTTCTGTACTCGTTTAAAGTTGACACAAATTTAATACTTATAATTCTCTATATATTGGGTATGTCTTCACAAAATTTGGCAGTCTTTATGTTAATATTACAAGTCTTACACATACAAAAAAAGTCATATTTCTTAGTGAAGTACTTTTACTAAAATAAAATAGAGTTTTGTCCATGAATATATTGAATATTTGTTTAGAATAGTCCATGTGCAAAGTAATTTTCATGTTAAAAATACTTTTCGTCATCTCAAATTTCCTTTGTGTAATCCCTAAAACCAATTTTATTGTTTTATTGCCCTTTATATTGCCCATTGAACTGTGTCTAACTGCTATCAGTGCCATTATAAGTTGTAAATCACTCAGGGAATGTGCAGGTCACATTAAGCTATTAAAGTACATTACCAACGAGCTGCTCGCATGCGTACTTCGAGAACAATTTTAATTATATTATTAATACTTATTTTACCTATTCTAGTCTTAAATAACTGACAAATTCATTTACTTCTAAAAATTTTCCTGGCTTTCTAACTATGCGACAGACAAAAGTCATTACAAATTCATCCAAGCTAGTCGTTAACTTTCTCACGGGAACAAAATTGCTACTCAGAGTGACATTAACTATTATCTGTTCAAAACACAATGTTATACAAAACGCCATTTGATAGATGAAACCTTGACTTTTTATTGGTTATAAATAATATATAATGAAATGTAAGAGAGAATTATCAACCAATTGTGAAAGGGAAGATGTGGCAGGAGGGGGTCTGATTTTCTCTTTGATAGCTCTGTAACATAACAAAATTGAAGACCATAAAAAGTATGGTCTGTTTAAGCAATAACGATTTTATAGAGAGCATTTTACATTTAATTTCATACATTTTCAAGGGGTGATGGATAAAATAGGGATGATGACATGCTAAGACAAAATTTGTCATGTGTGTTACACTAGTGTAAATT